CTCTTGCCTATGAAAAATTAATTGAGTGTGATCAAGCATCTCCCTGGAGAACCTGAAGAAAGAATAATGTTAGGCCACCTTGAGGCACAGGAAAGATTAAATGTAATTTCCTGCGTTCCTTGTCTTTGGAGAGAAAAGAATGAGAAGGAACTGTTGTTGATTAAATAGAAACAACATTAAGTATTTGTATATGAGAATTGATATTAATAATTAAAGCAATAGTTTTTCATTTTAAGTTGTCTATAATATTTTCAGGGATATACTTTAACACTTACCTCTTTAATCATACAGCAACTTTATGAGGTTATCAAGTCTTATTTAGAAAAACTATGGCTTGGAGAGGTTTAAATAACTTTGCCAGAAGAGCAGGACTGGTAGAGACTGAGTGGGATTTGATCCCAAGTCAAAGATTTCTTCTTGATTCACCGGACTCCTTCTCTACCATTGAAGTGGTCAATAAATATTCATTGAATAGAATAAATCAGTAGTGCATATTTATCAACAAGACTTCCATTTCAGGCAAAAAATGCCCAAAAAGATCCTGTTTCATAATGGACCAATTCAATGTGAAAGTGTGTACTTAGACCTCATCCTTATGCCCTATTAAATACTTGTGCTGCATAGGAACTCTAATGCAGCAAACATAGCCCTGCATTGAAAACGCTAATTATTTTGGTGTAGGGCATAAAATGAAGTACATATATATATGGTGAAGAGAGGCTCAATCAAGTGCTATAGGGTCTCAAATTAGGAGTGAGCAAGCGCAGATCAAGGCTGTCTTCATGAGGATGATGGGCTGGTTTGAAGAGGAACTACGTGTGTAGACTGCATTCAAAAGTACTGTTTGCTTGTTTGCTCTCCCTGAGGGTGAATTATATGTCCAGCTCCAGTGACCTCAGGATTGGTCATGTGACTTGCTTAGCCAATGATATGTGCATGGAAGATTGTCACTTTGAAGTTAGAAGCTTCAAGGGCCAACATGGTTTGCCATCTGTCTTTGGCCATCTTTGCAGGGTTACAGATAGATTCTGTTATGTCAACCTTGACCCAGGAGGAAGTAAGATGGAATGGAGCTTCAGCCAAAGCTCGATGAGCACAGAATAATTCAGGGTCACTTGTTATCTGTAGCACATCCTAAACCTACGCCTGGACTGGACACATTCCCAAAACCAATTCCCTTCAAGGGAGAGGGCCACACTGAAAAGACAAAGAAGTGGAATGAAACAATAGAACCAAACTCTGCAAGGTGGTGATTAGGAAACATCCAGAATTCTCAATCCTGGCTACACCTTAAAATCCCTGGGGAAACTACTAGAAACAACATTAATGTCTGAGCCCAATCACACGAACTTTAATCAATATTTACGTATAAATCCCACATGGGGTATTTAAAAAAAAACAAAAAACTTTCCGAGACTATATGTGGACATCCAAGATTGGGAATAGTTCGCAATATAACACCTTTATATTGTAAATGAAGAATCTTAAATTCAAGAGAGAAAGGACTAGTATACAACATCAGAGCTGGACAATGATGTAGGTCATGGACTCTGTCCTCTGCGTGTCCAAGCTCAGTGTTCTTGCCAGAATAATCAGTAATTACAAAATTAGAATAATTCTACAGTAGTCAGTGTCGATAAGTAAAAACCAACTATGTTACCCAATATATTAGGGTATATTACCTCTCTTGCTTGAAGCCGTCTAGTTTCTTTGACAAACTGTGCCGCACTACACAGTACACATGCACAACACACACACACACCAACTAACACATACACACACCTGCTTGGAGCTAAGATCGATGCTTAGTCTATAACCGTTATGCGCAATTGGCAGAAAATAGCACAAGTTTCCACTACCTCCTGTAAGCTGTCTGATACATACGTTTAATACTCCAATCTCGTCTGATTTGTTCTGCTTAGGCTAGCATACAGGTCAACACGCAATTATCTACTATTCCGACACTGCAAGAGCTGTAGATGTGTTGAATCAGCTCGCGCGTAAGCGGTGCCCTATCATACTATACTGCTCACCTCCTATTCTGCAGCTCAATTAGTCTATGTGATACACACACAAGGTGCGTTCGTATCCTCTCGCCATCAACAATATCATAATATTACAGTGTGTGTGTGTGGTGTGTGTGTGTAACTGCAGGTACGAAGCTGAATACTGAAGTGAAGAGAGCGTCAGGACGTTGACTGATGGAAGCTACGACAGATGTGAAGGAAATCAGGATACTAATGGATATTGTTTTTATGCTTTTTCTTAGGGAATGAATGCGTAATACTGTGATTTCTGCGAAAGATCACTGAACTAGAGACAAAAGATTTACTCTGGAGAACGAATAGGTACTAGGTGAATCAATTGGAGAACCTTCGTAGCTTGCAGTTTGTGGTGTGGGTTACAAAAATGATGATGCTAATACGTGGGTGGCTCAGAGAGCGAGGTGTTGGTCTGTTATGTAGTCGATTTATTTGGAGGGATGTTGGAGACAGAAGTCACGGCATAATGATTCTGGAATCAGGCCCCCAGGGTTTCAAATGTCCCCACTGTGCCGTTAGTTCTTTCAACCATAAAAGGACGATTTAATGATAATCTCTCGCCTTTCAAGGTTTGTTGTAAGGAGGGTGCACAGAGCTGAGGGTGTGCTGCAAAAATGCAAAAGCACAACATGGCGTGTGGTTCAGGTGGTGCTTGTGAAAATAATATGTAGTTACCAGCCTCGATAAGCTCAATAAATACGCAATGACAGTGAAGCAAGCCTATCGCACAGTTTAATATCTAATTTTATTCTGCCACTCCATAATACAGATGAGGCAAATGTTCGCATGATGTGGAGATGAGCCATGTGGTCTCCGGTTTATTTTTGTACTTCACGCTCAGTGCTTGGCTCAATTATTATGTATGTGTACAGTGTTTGGTGAGCAGGTCAATGTTCGTGCCTAGGACTTAGGCGCAGCATAATGGATAGTGTACATAAAAATAGTTGCAGTTCTGTGGGATCATATCAAAAGAAATACGGATAGAGTATAATAAAGTATTTATTATTAATCGCATATCATATAAGTCTAGGCTGTTATTAATGAAAAGGGAAGGATGTAAGAAATAAGAAAGGAGGGTAATTAGATTGTAATGCATCTTGGCGCAAGTTAAATCATTTTGGATTTTATTTTCTAGGTAATGGGAGACACCTATGTATCTCTGAACAGAGGAATAACATACTTAGGCAACTTTAAGATTGCATGAAGAGGTGGTGATTTATGGAACGGAGTGAGACAGAGACCAATGATAACACAGCACACAGCACAAGTAATCCGAGTACAAGCGTTAGAAGGGCATCTGAAGAGCCGGGAAGAACAGGGATTAATCTTTGGCAGGGTTACAGATAGATTCTGTTACATCAACCTTGACCCAGGAGGGAAAGTAAGATGGAATGGAGCTTCAGCCAAGCTCTGATGAGCGCAAAATAATTCAGGGTCACTTGTTATTGTAGCACATCCTAACCTAGCCTGACTGACACAGTTCCCAAAACCAATTCCCTTCAAGGAGAGGGCCACACTGAAAAGAAAAGAAAGTGAAATGAAACAATAGAACCAAACCTTGCAAGGCGGTGATTAGGAAACATCCAGAATTCTCAATCCTGGCTACACCTTAAAATCCCTGGGAAACTATAGAACAACATTAATGTCTGAGCCCATCCACAGAACAATTAAATCAATATTTAGGTATAAATCCCACATGGGTGTATTTAAAAAAAAACAAAACTTTCTAGACTACTATAGTGTGCATCCAAGATTGGGAAATAGTTCTGCAGTTAAATCCCTTTATATTGTAAATGAAGAAATTAAATTCAAGAGAGAAGGGACTTATACAACATCAGAGCTGGACAGTGATGAGGTCATGGACTCTGTCCTCTGGTGTCCAAGATCAGTGTTCTTGCCAGAATAATCAGTAATTAAAATTAGAATAATTCTACAGTAGTCAGTCTTTACCCAAGGGTGTATATATTCTGAGACACCCAGTGGGTTTCTGAAACCTCAGATGGTACAGAACCCAATATATACTACGTTTTTTCCTATACATACATACCTATGATAAAGTTTAATTCATCAATTAGGTACTGTAGGAGATTAACAGCAATAATTAATAACATAGAATAATTATAATAATATACTGCAGTAAAAGTTATGTGAAACAGTCTCTCTCCCCCCAAAATATCATAATATTAAATTTTTTTGACTCCAGTTAACTGCAGGTAACTGAAACTGAGGAAAGTGAAAATCACAGATAAGGAAGGACTAGTATCTTTTGGCTTTAGAAATGACGTAATCTGGATTCAAATCCCAACTAGAAACTTACTGTCATGTCTAGCAAATCACTTAACCTTCCTGAACCTTGCATTTTTTTTACCCATAAAATGATGATGCTAATAACTGCCTCACAGCATCATTTGAGTCTATTATGAGTCGATGTATATTTGGAGGGATGTTGGAACAGAAGTTAGGCATAATGATTCTGAATCCAGGCCCCCAGGTTTCAATGCCCACACTGTGCCTTAGTTCTTTCAACCATAAAACGAGTTTAATATAATCTCTCCCCTTTCAAGTTTGTTGTAAGGATTGCACAGAGCTGATGTGCTGCAAAATGCAAAAGCACCAACATACTGTCATCTGTGTATATGGTACCCCTGAAGCTATACGCACAGAAGCCAGGCCCTGCACATTAATTATTTCCTATAGAGAATTGACAAGTGTAATTGGCACACACCGGGTTTTTATTAAGCATCATGTTATTATTACAGTGTTTAGCATGCTGACTGGGACATGGAAAGCACTCAAAATGTATTTGTGGAATAAAAGAAAGAATAAATAGAGTATATTATTTATGCAATTAGTAGGCTAGTTTTAATAAAAGGGAAGGCATGTAAGAAATAAGAAAGGTGGGAATTAGATTGTAATGATCTTGGCTGCAAGTTAAATATTTTGGATTTTATTTTCTAGGTAATGGGGAGACACTATGTATCTCTGAACAGAGGAATAACATACTCTAGGCAATTTTAAGATTGCATGAAGGGTGGTGATTTATGGAACGGAGTGAAGACAGAGACCAATGATAACACAGCACACAGCACAAGTAATCCAGTAACAAGCTAGAAGGCATCTGAAGAGACGGGAAGAAGGGATTAGCATGAAGCCAGGACAAGACATGCGTGCGCAGACATCTCTGAGAAACTGGGATAAATTACCTTCGAAATGCACACCGAGAATGCTGAAGTTTGGCCCCAGTTCTGCCCTTGACGTGTTCTGTGCTCTCATAAAATGAGGGAAACAAGACCCCCTTTGGGTCTGGACTCTCTAAAAGCCAAAATGACATCATTGGACTTATTGCTCTCTAAAATCACTCCAACTCCAGGATCCCATCTGTGAAATTCAGAACAAGCCGAGGCAGACATGGAACGAGTTAGGAACCTGCCTGCGGCCTGTTCTACATGCCTGTCTCCCTGAAGAGCCCGTGTGGGATGCCGAATGGGCAGATACTGAACCTTGGATCCTAGGGAATCGTGTCTGTCGGCCTCCCCGTCTTTATTTAAGTACAGGTAGGTGTGTGAGGGAGATAGGGAGATATTTTCACTGAGGCCAATAGCTTTAGCTCCGTGTTCTCGCCTGTCGGGCCAGGGCAAAGTCGGGCAAGCTGCCCATTCTGCTTTCTTCCCTCTCCCCCAGTCTTCCTCCTAATACAACTGGAGAGACTGCAGCAAACACACATGCACGCACTCAACTGCGTGTGCATTCACATGCACAGTCACTCAAAAGCTCACTCCAACACACATTCTCAGTCACACACTCATGGGATTCACACTCTTGCATGCTTAGACATGCATACACAAACACACATGCACATACACTCATACACACACTCATACTCACACGTGCACCCATGCACACATATTGACTCACTTCAACACACATGCCAGCACACATTTTCTCACACGTACATGTATGTGTCTGCATACTCACCCACCCTCATGCCCTCCTGCACACAATCACACATACACATGCTCACTCACACACACTCTCATTCTCGTGTGCAAATGCTCTTGCGCATACATGCTTACTTGCAGGTTGCTTTTATGGAACGTGGCCCTGAGGAGTATGGAATTTTCCAGCAGAAGATTGTTTAGCACGTCTGTTGTTCTGACCTGGGGCAGCCACAGACCAAATAATCAGCTACTGACGCTTCTTGGCTCCAGTAGACTTGAAGCAACATCATGTTGATGTAAGTCAGATTCAGAGATCTGAAAATAGCTCTGTAAGGCTGGAATTTAGGGTTGAATGTGGTAGCCAAACCAGCTGGGAGGGATGTCCAAACCAAAGCTCCTTTTCTAATTCCCTGCTCAAGTCTTCATTTGTACAAGCACCAGCCTCCCAGGGGGATACGCTGCCAGGAAGGTGATTAAAACCAGCTTCTATCTAATTAAAAAATAACTGCCCTACCTTTCTTTCCAAATATGTTTGCAAATTCCTTGTAATTAAATTTCCCCCTCAAGGAAAGACTGCTGGGTTACTCCTGAGAGAGAAAATCAGTGGCATGTGGCCAGCAACTTCCAGACCATTCTGCTCTGATAAGGGCTGAGCTCCCTGCTGCTCAGGCAGGTGAGGGCACAGTGGAGCAACCATGGTGGTCCCCGTCTCCTTAGCACCCCAGCACTCAGGAACCAAATTGCGCCTGGTCCCAGGAGAAATGCCACGGTAGGCAGCGTGGGGATGTGGGGAAATGCTTCCACAATCAGGAGATTTGCTTCTGAGGCCTGGCTCTGCTACTCACATATTTGTTTGTTTGTTTTTTATTATATTCATGTATTTTTTCACAGCTGACCTGAGTTCCCAAAGAATCTGAGGTCTCTGCATACAAATAGGTTGAGTGGAAGAAAATAAAAGCCAGCTCAAAGAAAGGAGAAAGGCTCATAAAGTTGCAATAACTATCCACTAATTGTTGCTCTGGCCTTCCTGGCAGCCTAAGGATAAAGGAAAACATTATGAACCACATGACCCCTAATTGTTAGAGACGGGGACTCTGACTCCCAAGGAAAGATATTTTGGTTGTTTTGGTTCTCTCTTTCTCTCTCTCTCTCTCTCTCTCTCTCTCTCTCTGAGCACAAATTCTTAAAAGATCTGACTTGAGATATATTCTAGGGCAGCAGTCCTCAGCCTTTTTCACACCAGGGACTGGATTCATGAAGACAGTTTTTCCACAGACCTGGTTGTGGGGAGGCAGAGCTCGGGTGGTCATGTGTGTGATGGGCAGCAACTGTAAATATGGTGCTTGGGGACCACAGTTCCAGCAGATATTGATAAATACAGTGAACAAATCCCTCAACGTTGATTTCTATACCGTTCATTGCTGTGCCAGTCCAAACACTTGGATTTGGATGTTTTCCTTTGCTTTATTGTCAAATGAGGCTCAAAAGCCCCACACCCAGGTTAGCTGTAAATGTTAAGTGAGATAATATTAAGATAGCACTTTACCAACAGTAAATGTAAATACACGGTTACAAGTGTAAAGTGTGAGCATTAATTCCTATTTCATGAGCCACTTAAAGCTGGAAGGAGGGTCCCCAGTTCTATGGAGTTTTTAGCTTTTATTCCACCCTTCCCCGGGTAGGGTAGCATACTTTTTCTGTTGGGACATAGTTTCTTTGGGTGACATGAGCTTTCTGGATAAGGAGAGGCAGGTCCTTAGAAGGAAGAGCTGACTCCTCAACAGCTAAGTTCCTTTTAGAAATTTCCCTCGTGAGATTGGCCTCCATCCCAAATAGGAAGCCGTCGGGCTCTTCTGCAAGCCCGTCAGCCTGTGCCTCTCACGGAGAAAGCCCTTACTTAATGCTCTCTTACGCGTTCTTGGAAAATGCCACCTCCAGTGAAACGATGCGCAAGGAAACCAGTTTTACCCTAGGCTAATTGATATAAACAAGAGTTAAGTTCCCACAGCATATTTCTGGTCACAAAAACAGCACCAGACTTCTAAACAAATACCCAAAACATTCCTAACATTAAACGTTGAAATAAATGTGAGCTATACATACAGTTAAGAAAGAGGAATATAAACAAGCAAAATAATTATTTACCCAGTTATTCCAGTTCAAAGCTCAGGTGACGGGAGCCCATCCCAGCAGCTCAGGGTGCAACGGGGAACCAGCCCTGGACAAGGCACCAACCCATGGAAGGTCCCACTCACACACATGCACATACCCACACGCACACACGTACACACACACACACACACACACACACACACTCACACACACTGACACACACTCACACTCACACACACGCACTCATACTCACACACACACGCATACACACACACACACACACATTGGCACTGGTATCGTTTAGACACACCAGGGAACCTCACAGGCACATCTGTGGGAAGTGAGAGGAAACCGAAGGGCCTAGAGAAACCCCATGCAAACATGGGAAGAACCTCTACACAGACAGTGGCCACTGCTAGGAATCAATTTTTTTTTTCTCATCAACCTTATAACAGAATGGCATCGAATGAAATGATGTTATTTGAGGACCCACTCTAGATTTATTGGAATTAACAGCAATGTATTTCTATGGGGCTGAAAAAGAAACTAGAGTGACCCCAGGCACAGCTTTTTGCATCTGTAAGCTGTTCTGGTACATTCTCTGGCTCCTTCCATTTTCACTGACCTGTTCCTTAGCCCAATAACCAACCGCAAAGCTTTCACCCGCAGCAAATTGCTCGACTCTGACACCACACCCTTCAGGGAGGGCTCAGGCCAGGTTCTAAACCAAGTTCAGCTGGTAATTTCACTACAAATTGCTGCAAGTGTGGAACCTCCTGGGGCCTGATTTACTAGCTCCCTTCTACTCAGATCCAGCCTGATGGACAGCCGGGAAGGGACGCTGGAAGGCCCCAGGCTATGCGGTGGGTGTTTTAAAAAAAAGTTCGTATTTGTTATTTGGAAATCTGTGATTCATGCTCATAAACGGGCATGTGTGCAAGGGAGAGACGGAGGCGATGAACGCCTTTGATTTTCCTTGCAGGGACAGAGAATGCCGGCAGCACGGCTGCCCGCTCCCAGGGCAAGCGACTGTCACAGCCGTTCTGAGTGAAGTCCAAGGGACTGCAGCGTATGACTCCACACTGGTTGGCCTTCCGTGACTTACAGAGCCCTTTCATAGGCATTGTCTCAAGCTTTGCCTGAGGAAGTAAAGTTAACACTTGGACTTTACCTTTGCCTAGAATTTTAAGTGGCAGAAGGGGGGGCATGCAAACGCCAGCTCAGCAGAGCAGGCGCCCAATTCTGAAAAGGCAGCGCGAGACTCTCGCTGGCCGGGACCCCCGTGTGGGGATCAGTGTGGACTAATGAGCCACAGAAAGACAGGCTCTGCAATCTGGAATGCTCAGGGATTCCATCCCAGAAGGAAATGAGTAACATCCCCGATTTAGGGATTAACCTATTATTAAAATAGCTGCCCAAGAGGCAGCGGTTACAGTGTGGCTTTGGTGTCAGGGACAGGCACATGGCAGCCCTGGCTCAGTTCTGCTGACTCACTGGGTGGCTTTGGCAACTTAGCTCCCCTCCTCTGGGACTCAGTTTTCTTCTCCGTGACATGGGAATTATATAACCTGCCCACAGAGTTGTCATAGAAATTTAATGTGATCCTTTTTTCTTAATTGCTTAATAGAGCCTGGTCCATGTAGGCACTCAATAAGTGACAACTATTAATTAAGTTTATATATTTTCCAAATATATAAAAGTGCATCTCACACACTTTTATTTTTCTATGGATTGCCTCTGGCCCTGCTCTTTTGCCTCTCTCTTTGCAATGCCACAGTGCCATAGGGGTTGCATCATATAGTTTCCATTTAGTGCCAGTGATTAGAACAGTGTCATTACAGTATGCAAGGCTTAGCTCCACCCTGTTTAAAGCTATAATCTTCTACCCTCCCTTGCTTACCTGCTTTGCCTAGCTTTCAGTGAGGAGACATGGTCTGCTATTCCCTCTGCTTCCCCTTCTCTCTTCGGGCTCTGACAGCTCTGGAAGAGGAGAGAGAGTCTCCCAGAAACTTCCTCCAACAGTGCTAGCACCAGGACCTGTCTGCAATTTCCTGCAGCTATACACACCTGGCCAAGGGAAACCTAATTCCACATTCTTTCAAACACCCCAATCTTGAATCTTTACTTGGCTTAGGGTTGAGAGACCCCACTTCTTCCCATGAAAACCATACCAGATCCCTAGTACCCCAAACACTTTGGAATCCAGAGATTCCTTCCTGTATCTGTCCTTTCCCCTACTCTGCTTCTGTAGACTGTTGTTATAGAAGATGGTGGGTGGGGGTAGTAGATCCAACTAGCATCCACCAGGAATGTGTGGTCTGCCTTTGAGGGCTCTTTGCTGGCTTCTTCTCGGGCTGTGGAACAGAGGTTCTCAAACTGCAGCTGGCGTCTTCTGGAGGGCTTGTGAAAACACTGTGGCTGGGTCCCAGCCCAGAGTTTCTAATGCAGTAAGCTTGGAGGGCGGGAGTTGGTGAATTTGCATTTCTTCCTAACATAGTCTCAAAAGTGAGGTTGATGCTGATGGGCCCAGGACTCGCTCTGAGAATCACAGGGCCAGAGAATATAAATTCCTTCACATGGCTTTCTGACCTCACTTTGAGGCATGAGGAAAAGTCTCACCCAGGATCCCTTTACAGTAACAATGCCACATGGCAGATACTTTTAGTCCAATATAGATCAGGACATTGAATTTTGGAGAACTGAAATGATTTGTCGAGAGTCATATCGCAAGTAAGTGGGGTGGTGAGTTCTGATGCACAGGCTTGCCTGACTCTAAACCCCTGACCTTTATGGCCGATGGATTATTTTCATGGATGAAAAGGGATTCCAGCAGGACGTAAAGTAGCATTTACTTCTTCAGGCTGAAGAACCTGAGCTGGGTGAATCAGAATCCTTCCCAAACTCGGTGCCCTCCCCGTGACTGATGGATCAGGGGTTGCACTAACCAAGCTGGAAGCTCCTGTTTCTTCTTCCGAAATTTTATAGACTGGGAGGGAAAGAGAAATCTCTTTTGTGCCTGGAACTGGAACATGTAAAATTCAGGAGCCCTTGGCCACACTTTTCTGTCCTGTGGACTTATGTACAGAGGCTTCGTCTGCAGCTGGCACTGCGGGCAAAAGTCACCAACCTGTGGCAGGCCTCCCCTCAAGCTCCATTCCTGGCTCTAGTCCACTGGTCTCTGCTCTTGGGTTCTATGAAATCACCTAATGACCTTCTAATAACCTTCCCCCAGCCCTAATCCCATGTGCCTTCACCCTTCCCTTATACTGCCCTGAAGTAGTTCTCCCATTGCCTGCAACCAGTCGCTTCTTTACTAATACAGTATCTATTGTGCACGTATTCCTCAAATCTTTATAGTGTGGCATTCTCTTTGAAATATCTGTAATATCCTAACAATATCATAACGACCACTTTATTGGCCATTTTTGGCAACAAAGAACATGGGGTCATGATTTATTTTTGGTCTCCCATCCCTGGAAGAAGTGATGAGCATGTGCAAGTGTGTTTTTCGGGGAGGAAGGTGAGGGTTGGCTGGACAGACACAGACCACACCTAAATGCATGCCCTCTGCAGAGCCTGGTCCTGCTCACTGCCGGGCCACTTGAACACTGGTCTGCCAGATGGTGTGTCCCTTCAGGTGTGCCCTGGAAGGCTGAGCACCTGACATCCTGCCCTCCGTAATCTTCCCTGGCTTTGCAAGCACTAAGAACTATAGTGAGAGTTTGTTTCTCTATACTCCTAATGTGAGTTTCTCCCCAAGAAAGGCCAAAAAACACCATCAATCAATGGGGCTTGTTGTTCTTTTTTAACAGCTCACATCCAAGTTGTTGGTATTAGCACTGTGTTATTGCCCCATACAGAGCCACCCACAGAGTCCTCATTAAGCCCCCTGGCTGCTCGGCAAGCCATGACTCAGCTGGGGAAGCCAACTGAGTAGTAAGGTCTTTTAGGGTAATTTAGCTACATGTAGAAGCACTGATTTATTCTTTTTCCTCTCCCAGATAATAAACACTGTGCCTAAGTGCTCTTGGGCTGGTGACAGGATTGTGGGTACCCTGAGGCTCCTCCATCCCCCCCCCCAGACCATGTCCTGAAACATCTTTGCAAATAGCTTCTGAACCCAGTTGGAATGCCCATCCCATTTCCCTTTTCTTGGTTCCCCTCCATCTGCTCGCATAGCCTGTGAGAAGAACCAGAAAGACTGGAGCCTGAACAGAAGCAAGTCAAGTTTAGATTGGAGGAAGGGAATGGGCTGGAATAACTGCTTGAGTTGCTGCGTGTGTGTGTGTGTGTGTGTGTGTGTGTGTGTGTGTGTGTGTGTGTGGCGGGTGGTGAAGTCAAGCAGATGGAGCTGTGGCAAGGCCGCCACCTGTAGCTGTGCAGGCTCTACCATGCGCAAATCGGTTCACTCAGACCATGGTATGAATGGCACCCTCCTGGTTACGCCATGGGCCACCTGTGATCTAGTTTCTCCCTATCGACTTCAACCAAATTTATTCTTATGTTCTTGCTAAAAAAGAAAACAAGTGTTTTAAACGTAATGATTAACCACAGCAAGACTTTCCATTTTATGATACGGGAATAAGAAAATAAGGCATAGATAAGCCAGCAGTACCGAAAGAGCCAGTGGTGTGTGGAATCCATGTGTGCCATCCTGTGAGAGCCAATTCTCAGCACCTCCACCCATCCATGTGTTCAGTGGTTTCACATTGGTAACCTGAAATCAGCCATAGTGGATTATTTAAACCACAGAAATCGGCCTCCTTTCTGCCCTCTGCAAGAGCCACTTGTTGAGCCTTTGCCAGCACACCAGTGGGCATTAGCCAACTCTTGCCCTAAGTTCTCAATTTCTATCAAGGATGAGAGTTATTTAAAACTGTCTTTATTTTCATAGTTGCTCTCCTGAAATGAATCATTGCTTGGTATATCCCATAAATCTGCCCTTGTCATCCCCTGCCCCCACCTGAGACCCAGCCCTACGGCATCTTTGATCCTTAGTTGATGAGGAGCTGGGACAAACTCTCTGTCCATATTAAACACATTATCATCAAGTGATGTTTGGCAGATGGACAATGTTCTAGAAATGTTTGCAGGGTGGGTGATTATCTCATAATCCCTTAAGCTTCTAAAATTGAAACTTCATAAATCTGAAAAAAATTACCAAATAAGGATGTTAATTTAGTTTTTTAAAAATTTTCCAACTCTATGAAGGTGAAAGTATGTCACTTGTATTTTGGAATAACTAAAAAGTCAATAATTCTGGTACTATTTGATCCACATTAGCTCTAAGAGTATAACATGATATTTTAATTCTTAAACTAATATCTTTCAATTTATTATGTAAGAATCTTCCCAAAGGCACCCAAACAAGGAGGCTCTTATCTCTGCTACTGGATTTAAATATTATGAGGGTTTTTTTTTTTTTTTCCTCAGTTTAATGCTAATGTGGTAAGCTGCTTTGGTAGTAAGCATTTACATAGCAATTTGCAAGTATTAATGAGTTCATCTATACTATCTATCTGCCTTTCAAATGTTTAAAAGAAAAGAAGAAAGCAGTCTTAAATTTTTCATAGTATCAGAACCCTATATTCCTCACCAAGGATAGGGGAAAAAATTATTTCCATGACCTGTACCAAGTTTACTCATCAGCTGGTCATAAATGTGTGTACTTCCCAGAATAAAGAGGAAAATTTCCAGAGCAATATATTTTGTCAAACTTTTCTACCCCACTTACAAATACTTATTAAGTTAGATAATAAAATATAATTTCAAGTGGTTAATATGATTCAGACAATGGAAACATAGACGTTTCTCCATGACAATACAAATTAACATTTAATTTGTTGAGCGGACTATTTGCCAGGCACCGTGCTAGGCTACAGTTCACGTACCTTCCTTCATTTGATCCTTCCAGAAATGTTGTGAGGCTGTAGTGCCTAGTTCACAGATGAGGGAATTGAGTCTCTGAGTGGTCAGTTACTCCCCAAATGTTCCACAGTTAATAAGAGGCCGTCCTCTTTGATGCTTGTGCTAGTTCCATAAAACATGTTTATGCCATTTATATAATTCCTACCATGAGCTCATGCAACTATAAAATTATATATAGTATTAGATCAATATAATCCCTAGGTAGAAGATAAATAGGAAAATATTCTTCTTGATGTCAAAAGCAACACAAATTTTGGTCTTCAGGGAGTACTGAATATTTCATTTGAGAACCAGAAAAAAAAATCCATTTTTTTTCTGGTTAGCAAGCTTCCATTGGCTGCGTTGTCTAGCAGTTATCTTCAAGAATGGGCAAGAAAAGAACAGGTTGAGTATACACCATCACTCAAACGCTATAGGAACTCCTTGGGGAAGAGTCTCATTAGCCCAGGAGGGCTTATAAAAGATAAAAGAAACTTTTTCTTCATGAAAAAGTAATTGTTGGAGCTCTTAAACTATCTGGAAATATAACAAACACTGCAATCAATGAAAATGTGTTTGGATTCAACTGTCAAACTTGCTGAAGATGAAAAAAAAAAATTGTATGTCTTCAGCAATAACACGGGAATCATACTGTATACATCTGGCAGACACTGTCTCCCAAATGATCCCACGAATCCAAGTGCATCTCTGCTTACAAGTACAAAGCAAAGCCAGTAAAAAGCCTATTAGGAAGAGTGAATAATTTTGCTGTCAGAAAATTCATACTGCTTCAAATCTCTTGGATTCAAGACACAGAGTAAAGAAAGTGAGCCTCTACTTCTACTACCTTTGAAGGGATTATGAAACAGATAGGACCTCTCAAGATTTGATGCTGTGAATGTTACTTTCAAAGGTTAGCAAGTGGTCGATGCTCCTAATTGGTCTACACAGCAATGCGGCTGGCCCATGGTGGCAGGGTTTTGGCATAATATTGTCTTAGATTCCATTTCTTTTTCAACTTACCTAGATTTAACCTGTATCTTTAAACATAAGAGGACCAAGACTCAGCAAGCTTCAGGGATAGGCCAGGTCACAGAACCCATTGGTAGGGATAGAACTATATTCCAGTTATCTCCCCTTGCAGAAATCATTGCTGTACCTTATCTCTCTCAAATAAAACAGTGCACATCTGAAATTGATAAAAATTATAAAGGTATGTCAAAAAAAGCACCTTCGATGGTAATAGCAGAAAATCAAACTGATTAGGCAAAAGTGGCTTCCGTTTATTTATTTTTCCTTATTTTTTGTAAATTTCTTTTCCTAAAGTGTTGTACACATCTACTTAACACTGAAGAGAAAAAGTCAGAGTTCAGACCAATTTATTGTTACTTAAACTACAATGGCCAGGATGTATTCTGTAATTCACTTTTGATTCTCAGAATGGGATTAATGCTTCAGATGTAACCAACATGAAATCTGATGAGAAGTAAGTTCAACTGGAAAATCTATACTATAATAAACAACAATCCCTTTAAACATAATTATACTTCTAAACTTAATATGCCTAATAGAAGCAAGAAAGATATATTTTACTTTTATCTTCTTAACTACCATAGCTTTTACTATTTTCATCATGTTTTTTTTATACTTCCCCAAATTGAAAATACAGATTTTCTTTGCCCACATCACTTTAACATTTCTGTGTGTTCAGGGTGCTCAGTGGAAAGTGTGGAGGTGTATCTTTATGGTGGAAAGCACATAGCATCATATATGTGGCACACCTTGACAGCTAATTTGTCCTGCTACACATTTCAGCCAAGAGGAGCTATAAAAACTGGTCACGTAAAGGGATTCTGGTAAAAAAAAAAAAAAGTGCAGGTGTATTTATTCTAACGATATAGTGAAGCCAAGATAGTTATGTAGTTTAAAGAGAATGTCTCTATCCTAAGGGCACAAAAACAATGAATATAACAGTGTAGTTTTTACCCCATATACCTTATACCAGATGCCCCTTGAATTGAATGCTGAATGAGAAACCCATTAAGTCTGCTCTGTTCTTCTAATTAATAATTTGTCTGTTTATTTTTCAACAGCAAACTTCCTCATAAAGGTCCAATACAGAGAGATGAAATTATTGAGAGCAAATACTTACAATTCTACCTTCTTACCTCCTGTTGCATAAACACCAGTTGTTGGAACACTCAAGGGAAGTATGTTTTTCCTTAAGGTAAGAATCTGGAGCTGGCAGCCCAGAGAAAAACCCTGAACTTCACAGGCCTCCAAGGTCCTGTGTTCATTCCATATATCCTGAATTTTATTGCTGCCGCATTAACTCTTAGGTGTAAAGTTTGTAATGGCAGGCTAGGCATGAATCATTCTGCTTATGTGGACAAAAGGTCTGTGTCCACCCTAGGGACAGCAGTGGGGGTGTGCCCCATCTGGCCCTCTCTAGAATATTGCCATCACACGTACCAATTCTGGCCTGAGATGCTGACTACAGGGCTGGAAGCAATCTTACCAGATGTTGAAGGGCCCCCTAATCGCTTCGTGGTTGGAAGTGGGCCCAAGCTGGGACCTGCACCTGCACCTGCACCTCTGGCAGCTTTTGCCCATGAGATTTGGGGCAGTAAAAAGCAAACTCTCTAGGAATGCTTTTTAAAATAACACCAATTTGGCCACTAGATGGAAGGCTGCAATTAGCACCCAAACCCCTGGAAACCTTGTCCGGTAGGTGCCCTGATGCTCCAGGTTACAAAACTATGCATTGCCATACAGAAGAAAACGTGCTTACATTTGAGTCGAGCTTTGGAGTTGACAGGGCACTTTTACGTTAGTTCGTGCTTTGACACACACCTCCCTTCCTCTACAGCCTCAGCTGAGCCGTGGTGCCGGGCTGCTCCACTTGGATCTAGGTTGACCCTCTTTCGTCTTCTGATTCTCAGGATCTACCTGGTTACCCTACCCAATCCTGGTGATGGCTGGATGTTCTTGACCTTTTTACCCTTGGCTCCCATCTCAGCTGGACTTCTCCGGCACACAGACACTGGGAAGGAGGTAGGCGTGGGAAAGGGTTACTGGGGAGCCATACCTGAGAAAGGAAAAGGAAGAGGTAGGACTGGGCAGAGGGAGCTGTCAGAGCATCTTGCAGGTCTGAGGTCTCCACTAGGCTTGAGTCATCTCCAAGCAAATGTTGCCCACCAGAGAGGATCCGCATGGGTGGACACGGAAATGGGCAGCTGCTTGCATCACCGCTTGCTCACTCATGGGCTGGGGGCCACCTGCAAAGGATCTGCCCTTGGCTACCCCACTCTGCTGGGTCACTGACCAGGGCCCCCTGAGAACAGCAGACCTCGCCTGTCAGGTCACCCCACACCTCGCAGCCAGGCAGCTTGAGCAGGATGGGGCGGTGCAGCTGAGCCTCTACCTCAGCTCCCAGCCTCTTGACCACTGCCCTCCTTTCCAAGAAACTCACTTTTCTTCTCTCCCCAATTTGATAGAAGCTTGTGGGTAAACCCAGAAACTGAGGTAGGCTAGTCAGGTTTTAGGTATCCCCTTTTTCCAATAAAAAATTAAAGATCAATAAGATAAAGTGCCATGCCCCAAGACATACAATTAGTAAGGGACAGAAGCAGAACAAAACAAGATAGAGCAGTGGAACTACTGCACAGTTTCCTTCCTACAACAATATTTGCCAACTTTTATTGAGACTGTTGATAACGTACCTGGCATGTATGGGCATGCCATTTGGTTTTCACAATCACTGTGATAAAAAGTTCTAATATTCATGTCACTGATGAGAAAACTGAGTTTCAGAGAGGTTAAGAGTTTTTTTTCCCAAAGCAATAGCCAGCAGTGGCAGAAATAAGATTTGAAGCCAGGTGTGGCGCCAGCACCTGTGATCTGTACTGGCATGCCATCCTTCTCCCCCATGGCCGTCATAGCTATAGAGAGATGCATGTCAAATGGAAGCACACATTTCTTCTTATGTTATTTCTAAAGTGCATTCTCTTGGCTTTTGCCAAATGTGACATTTTGAGGGCTAACAGTACAGGAAACTGCGTACTGTGAACACTAATTGAAGGAAAATGGCCATTTTATATCGTAAGAAAGATAGTTCAGCTAAACTCACCTCCAGAATCGACCAAAAGCACGTGTTTACATTTTTCTAGAAACGAAAGGAAAATAATGAAAATAGGAAAAATATGTTAGATTTTTAAACTACAAAGCATTACATATCACGTGGACGTGCCAGTTGCCTAGAATATGTTATACTGAAACAATAACAAAATACAGATAACTATGAATAAATTGGATTTTTCTCAACTTTTGCAGCCAAGATTGATTTCTTAGGCTAAAGGCTTGGCAGGTCTGAGACCTTAATCAATACTTATTGATAAACATTAGCATTTCCTCAATATTGCTATTTTTCACATCAACCAGAATGTGCATCCAACAATCAAGTTTATTAACATCTTTTAATAACAATTTACATATGGCATAAAGGTGAAACAATTGAGTATACAAAGGTGCTCACCCCTGATCAGCCACTTTCATAGCAAGATCTATATATTCTTCAATGTCAGTTTCACAGAAAAATAGGTAATAGAAGAGAAGCATTTACCAGGCATTTCTAAGAAATCAACTCAAACTTAGAAATGGAATGCACATTTCAGGGATTTATTATATTAGCATGATCAGAAAAGTAAAGATTGGAAAAGATTAACTATGGTGGGGAAAGGTAAACTGTAGCATTATCAAAGAGGAATATCACTGTATGTTTTAATTAAATCTGAAATTTAGACTATAGTACATCTCATAAGACTTTAAAGGATTAAGTTTGTATTTTAGAGTATAAGAAATAATTTTGACTATTTAAAATGAGCCTCCCTTTTTGTTTTTCTTACTGACTCCATAAGTATTTATTTCAAAAAGTAAGAACTCACGAATTTACTTCAGTGTTTGTTCTATATACACATTTTTTTTATTTGATGAGGCTGAAGTCTGACTAAGGTGTAGGTAGCCCTTTCTCCCCAAAAAAAGCAAAGATCAGCAAGAAGACCACACAGCAAAACTACAGTGACACTCAACAACATCAAAGTGCTAGTTAAGCAAAAGATTCAACTATGCAAAGTGACTAAAGTGTTTTCTCTAAAGTCGATGCTTAAACACCCCACTGTCCCTACACTATACCACAGAGACCCTGGCGGAGGAGGACACCCGCATGTTTTATCTGGTTCTTGCTTCTTGACACACACCCAGCTCCTTCCCCTGTACTCAGAGCACTGGGTCTATTCCCTAAGCACTCAACGTTGAGCTGTGTTTAACTGTTAGGCTGCACCGTGCCGTGGACTTGGGGTCATGTCTGATTTCTCTCTACATGACCAGCAAGCGCATGGCCCCGTCTCTTGCATATACAGGTTAGCAAGTGTTCGATGAATATTTGCTGAGTGAGAGACCGAGTGAGCTAGTAGGTTGAAAAGGGCTACAAGAGACTGATGGAAAGAGAACATGATGTCATCGTTCTGATGAAAAGGAAAGGCAGAGGAAAACCATCAAAGAGCCCACAAGAACTCTTTTCTTTAAAAAGAAACATGTCTAGTTAGAAATTTAGAAAGCAGATAAATATAAACTAAAAAATAAACAGAAAACTCATTTTGCAATTCTGACACTCAGAGGTAATTTCGCGTGTTAATATTTGTCCTTCATGTTAGTATTTATGCTTTGCTCTCATTCTTTCTTTTTCTCTTATGCTTTTATCATCACTGAAACAAGAAAATGATGTACTCTAACCCTTATTCCCTAGTACGATACATTGTGAGCATTTTTTCATGTTATTACATAGACTTCTATATTATAACATTATTTTTTAGGGATGGATTTCGTTACTTGTAATATAATTGAGCTAAATGACTTCCTGTTTGAGTACACTGTTGTAGGTAATTTTTACTTTTTAACTATCATAAATAAAGCTAAGAGAGCTATTCTCACAGATGTTATTGTTATTGTTAATTATCATTAGCTGAGTCTATTTAATATGAGGCAGTTAACCACGCCACTGAAGGCATCCTTGTTATATAGTTAGTTTAAATTCTACATAAACTAACTGGAGAGCCAAAGATGAATAGTATGATCAATCCTTATATTACACTACAGTGTCAACAGAGGGAAAGTATCGACTTCAAAAAGCTTTCTACTTAAAAATATTAAAATAAAGAAAATGACATGTCCTACAACCCTCCAAGGGTAAAAGAGACATCATGGCATATAATTATAAATTATAGATACTGTGCTGTACATCAGATCTCCAGAAGTTACTCATCATGACTAACTGAACCTTTCTACCCTTTAGCCAGTATCTTCTACACATCTCCCTTCCTGCAGCCCCTGGTAACCACCATTCTATTCTCTGCTTTTATGTGTTTGATTATTTTAGATTCTGCATATAAGAGAGATCATGCAGTGTTTTCTTTCTGTGTCTGGCTTATTTCACTTAGCATAATGTCCTCCAGGTTCATCTATGTTGTTGCAAATGGTAAGGTTACCTTTTTTTTCAAGGTTGGATAGTATCCCATTGTGTACATATACAGTATCACAATTTATTTATCCATTCATCCATCAAAGGATACTTAGTTTGATTCTGTATTTGGGTACTGTGAACAATGCTGCCATGAACATGAGTGCAGATATCTATTCGATACACCGATTTTACTTCCTTTGGATAAGTACCCAAAAGTGGGATTGCTGGATCATATGGTAGTTCTAGTTTTAACTTTTTAGGGAATCTTCACACAATTTTCCATAATGGTTGTATTAATTTGTATTTCCACCAACAGTGTATGCAGCTTCCCCTTTCTCCACATCCTCACCAACATTTGTTGTCCTTTGTCTTTTTGATAAAAGCTATTCTTATAGCATTGAGGTGATAACTCATTGTGGTTTTGATTGGCACTTCCCTGATGACTAATGATGTAGAACACCTTTTCATATACCCGCTGGCCATTTGTATGTCTTCTTTTGATAAATGTCTACTCAGGTGCTTAACCCATTTTTTAATCAGGTTATTTAGGTTTTTTGTTGCCATTGAGTTGTTTGAGTTCCTCATATATTTTGGATATTAACTCCTTGTCAGGTAGAAGATTTGCTCTTCTGTCTTGAAGAAATAGCGTCACTCAATGCAATTTGGTTTGCAACTTTTGTCACATTGGTTAATACTATCATCACTCAGTCTTTTCACACCAGACTTCCCACAATCAGATTATCCTAACTTCCTGCATATTAAATCCTGAGTTTTATGTTGTAGGAGTAATTGTAGATTTTTTGCATATCAATAACTGTTGAAAAGAGTCTTTCAGCTGCTCTGTATAGTTTCTCTCTTAAAAAAGAAACAAAAAAAGCCCCTCTTTTCCTTTTCTTAAGATTCAGCAGCACAAAAAGCCAATCTGTGCTAAGAAGAAATGCATTTCTTTATTCAGGAAAGAATTTGTATATGGCACAATGTGTCTGTAAGTGAAAGGGAGATGTATGGTCCTGGGCATAGTCTGGGAAGGTAAAAACAATGGCAGGCATTAAATGACTCATTCACTAGGAAACATCTTTCTTCTTCCTTTTAATGCTGTAAGGGAGGAGGATTGTATTCTTTTCCAGATGCTATCTAAGACTTATAGGGGAAGCCGTATTTTTGAAAGGAGACTGTGAACACATGAAAATCTGCATCATGTACATTTCCAGAATACTAATGTTTGACACAGACAATGGCATGTCCTCAAGTTTCGTAAAGTCCTGTGCAAACAGAGCTTCCATACATATCTGAGAACATCTCCTACCACCACCCATCAGATGACCATCCTTAAGTCTCTTTTATATAGACTACTAGCTGGAGCCCTAACTGAAAACCAAAGATACTGAGAGAACAAAAAAATGTGGAACTATATTTAAAATTTTTAATGGAAATAATTTTTACAGTCACAACAATTACTAAAATTAACATGGGATAAAAAACTATAGATGAATAAGCATGAAAGAAATCCTTTTATAATTTAAATTTTTCCAGGATGTGGAGGAGGGAAAAAACTCCCAGATAATTTACACAAAACCGTGATTACTCTGATACCAAAACTTAATACATATTTCCAGGTGAAGAAAGTTAAAGCACATCATATTCCCGGTTGGGCAATTATTTTATTAGTATATGAAGAAAAGAAAAATAAAAAAGAATAATATATCCTTGGGGTTCATGTCAGAAATGCAAAGATAGCTGGGCTTAAGCTCCACAAATTCTGATTCAGCTGGTCCAGCATCTGACCGAGACACAAGTCAGAGTCTAAAGCGCAGTCCGAGTTGAGACTGCTGGGATAGCTAGTTAGCCTGATTCAAGTCACATTATATACTCCAGAAAGGCAAAGAATTAAAATTTTCAATTTAAAAACATAAAATTACTGCATGAAAATCTAATCATAGGGACACATTTTCTATATATATCATTAAAAACCACAAATTCTAAAAGGAAAAAAAATTGCTAGATTTGACCATATAAAAATTAAGTGTTGAGAGATGGCTGGTTAGAAACACCAGCTGGCAGATTATCTCAGAAAGAAGGAAAAGTTTTAGGTGAAAAAGAAAAAACAAACAAGCATAGATTGGGTGTAAGTCCAAAGGGAAAAGACCAGAATTTGGCAGAGATTCCACGGGAAGAAGTTGTGGAGCAGAACAAGAAGGAGCAAGATATAGGCAGAGGTCAACTGCCAAGAGGCTTGGAGTCTGGCAGAAAGGGTGGGTGGAGCAGTTGGTTTCTCCCTGCCTCACATCACTGGCAGTCCGCAGGCTCCCGAGCAGCTGGAGAGCCTTTCTACCCTCAGGAGTCCAAAGGCTGCTGCTGCCAGTGAGCTGGGAGCTTCTTGAGGACAAAGCACCAGGCTGCCAGCCCCCCTGGGGGTGCTTCCTGTCACCACAGACCCAGGCAGGGATGGCAGGCACCATATTGCTTGCTTCTCCACCCACTGTGTACCTTGTCCTCCCCAGGGAGCTTCAGCCCCTCAGTTTTCATCTTGTTCATTCCCACACAAACATTTCCCAGCTCCAGCCCTGGCTGGCAGGAGCCACAGGGCCCAAGTGGGTTCCAGAGGACCCGCATGACCCTAAAATCGTGACATTCTGGATGGACTGCCTTCCAGAGAGAGGAACAGGGATGACCAGAGTGCTAGCTTTCCTCTATCCAGAATCATTTTCTCTTTTTCTCCTCCCCTGTCTGTGGCTGCCAATAGAGTCATTTGAGCCAGGGTTTTCAGGAGATGCTGCTTCCCCTCTGTTGGGGCTTCCACAGAGAGTGGGGCTCAAGCCTTTCCTCTTAAAAACTGCAGAGAACTAAGTGCTGCTCACTAGCACTCCCTGGTGTTGCTTGCCTGGCTGCTCTATCAGTGCAGGGCACACCCTAAAGTGGAGGGACATCAAACCTGCTGGAGCACCCCATAGGCAACTTGGGACCAGCACGCTTCTCCCTGGCACAGTGGGGATTGATCTTTGGGGACCCAGGGACAGTTCTGCAGGCCAGATCCCATACCGCCAGGACTTGATCATGTTTCTCGGGGGGCACGGAGGGGAGATTTGTGAACTATACTCAGGAGGTGAGGGACCCCCACATGGGCAGAATTGAGAGAGCACAGTGTGAGTCCCAGCCACAGGGCACTCATGGAACACCCTTCGCTCCACAGGCAAACTACATTGTCAGCCCAGGGCGGGATCCTGGACAGAGAAGCCCCCAGCCTGCAGCACCATCATGGGGGAGCTCAGCCAGTTTGAGCTCCTGCCTGCTGGCAGATGCTGGAGGGAGACTATGAAGCAGGGGAGGAGGGAGAAGAGCAAAATCCCTTCCCGACAGCCAGACTGTGTCACTGAGATGGCACCTGCCTCCACAAGCAGATTTTCTAGCTGGGTGGGGCCACCTCAGCCCCTCCCTGGCAGCTTTCCCCAGAAGGCTGGGAGGAATATTTGACCCCTGCTGAAACAGCTACCTGACCAGCTTTTGTGGAGCCTGAGGGCAGGGTCACCCAACATAGCCATGCCCACCCTCACTCCCCCATCTGCCTCTGCCGTGATGGAGAATAAGGACTCACCTGGAAATTCCAGGGCCCCACACGCCACCTGGAACATTAAAATGCTTCGCCTGAGTGGCTAGAGCCAGTCACAGGTCCCCAAAACAACACTGCAGCTCACTCCTTTTGGCAAGCATCACCTCATGACAGGGAGGTCAGTTTGCACAGCCCTTTACAGCATTTACTGACTCAGTCATACAAGGTATGGTTGCTTCTCACCTACAAGAATCACCTACTGTCTCAGAGATGACACTGGGTGTGCCAATACAATTCACACTGCTTAGAAGACCACAGGGCTAGGGAAACAAAAAGGATCTCAAATACCTCCATCTTCCCTTATCAAAGAGAGTCAGGGAATCTTTCCACACACATGTAGCTCACTACTGCTCCAGCCTACAAACAACTATTAAGAGCAACCGAGAAAGCCACCACCATTTATAACCAAGGCATCTAGCCAGAACCTTGGCCCCTATCAAAGCTCCCACATGCAAAGCCAAAGATGCTATAGACATTTCCGTGTGAGTGAGGGAGGCATTGGATTCTCATAAGGAACATGCAACCTGGATCTCTCACATGCATGGTTTATAGTAGGGCTTGTGCTCCTACAAGAATCTAATGCCACTGCTGTTCTCACAGGAGGCAGAGCTCAGGCAGTGGTGTGAGTGCTGGGGAGCAGCTATAACACTGCTCACCTCCTGTGCAGCCAGTTCCTAACAGGCCATGGACTGGTACCAGCTTTGGGGGAGTCAAAAGTGATACATGAATTATCAACTGCACAGGCAGTTGGCACTCCTGTTGTTCAAGGGTAATTTTATTGCCTAAACCATTTGGCCTTTCAAGTGAGAAGTGGTCAGATTCAAGATGGATTCTGAATATAGTATCAATAGAAGTTTCTAATAGATTGAGTAAACATTTGGTACTTAAGTTTAGTTCTTATTGTAGCCATCTAGTTATAGAGCTATTATTTTCATTTTCACAATAGTACACTAGACTATAAGTTGATGTGTTTTAGCCCATGGTGATAGGATTATACTACTCTGTAGTCTACTTATCATTAATAACTGTTATTATTCATATATATGGGATATATATAGGTATAATACACATAGTATTTTTCCCTAATATATGAAAAAAAATACTATTTCCTATTTAACATTCTAGAAACAAGTATCTATGTTTTCAATCTTTTTTAACCCCACAATAAATAGTACTAAAACCCCAAATTGACAATCTAGAATTTCTGAAAATGACCTAGACCACTGCTTCTTAAGCTTTTTAGTCATACAAGTCACATGGAACTGTTGTTAAAATGCAGTTTTTGATTCTGGAGTTTTGGGAGATAAGATTTCCAGAATGGTTTAATGATGAGCTAGAAAATTTTTCTCTGTCAAAAAGCAAGGATAAAACTGGATAAATTTATCAAAAATCACTATTTAAAGACTCTGGAAATTGACCAAAGAACATGCAACAAATTGAGACGTACTTATCTAAGAAAATTTACTGGGGCATTCTAGCCAGAGATTTTTCCCATCTCTGCACCCTGACCCACCAATTCTGTGGAGCAGAAATTCTATCCAGACAGGCAGGACAGATCATAAAGACTGGAAGCTCTGCTCCCTGCCAGAGGAGAACTTGCAGTATTTGGAGCAGATAATAGAAGATCCTATTACTGAAAATAATAAAGATATGAGTGGTAGACATACCATAAACAGGGAAGGATAACATAAGCCTGAGGTCCATACTAGTTAGGACAATCAACAAAACAGCATACTAGCTAGAAATGTGACAGGTAAATTCAGGAAAATGAGATAGCCAGAGGGCCTTGCTGAGATCCCACTTGTACCTTGTCATCTGGAAGACTACGCACATGCACAGAGCCGTGTGTGTGTGTCTGCTTAGGAGAAACCAGAGAAGGTCTTGCAAATGCAGAACATATAAACCAAGGCTCACTTGTAAACTCCCTGAACTTTGAAAGCAGTCCTCACGAGGGCCCCAATTATCTTACATTCTGGTACTCACATCCTCATTGTTGGGTGATCTTCTCCCTTGAGGCAAGACCTATGATTTGCTTCTAACAAATAGACTATTGCAAAGATGATAGAATGCTGCTTCCTTGATTATATTACAAAACATTTTAATGTGTGTCTTACTAGGAAACTCCCTTCCTTTCTGGTTTTGATGAAGCTACCTCTATGATTTACACTATCCTATACAGGGGCCCATGTGGCAATGAACTGAGGAAAGCCTCCTGCTTACAGTCAGCAACCAACTGAGGTCTTCAGCCCAATAATTCACTGGGAACTGAATTTTGCCAACAACCATTTCAACTTGGAGGTGCATCTTTCCCCAGTTGAGCCTTGAGGTGAGAATAACAGCGCTAGCCAACACATTGATTGCATCTTTCTGAAACAGATAATATAGCTAAGCCAAGCCCAAACTCTTGACCCACAGAAACTGTGAGATAATAAATGTGTGTTCTTTTAGGGTCCTAGGTTTGTGGTGATATTATTACATAGCAATATATAACTAATACACCAAGCCACACAACAATCCAATGGTAGAGTGAAAGACTTACTGGTTCAATGTGTTTAAGCACAATTTCTGGTGAGTCATTGGCTGACCACTAAGCTGTACTGACCCAGGGAAAACTCCTAAAGGAATTCTTAAAAAAATAAAAACTAGAATAAAAAAATATTGGGCAGAGACATCAGGGGCCCCATGCTGCAGAAGAAAAAAGACTCCACAGAATTAGTTTAGCCAAGTCAATAAAATAAATAAACAAGAATAAGCCCCAAGCAGATTGTTGGGGAAGGGGAGGAGGAAAGATGAAAATCTAGAGTTGCTACAATTAATTATCTAAAATATCTGGTTTTCAGCAAGAAATTAAGAAACATGAAATGAAATACGAAGATGTGATCCATTAATAAAAACCATCTCTGAGGGCACTTATCAGACAAATATTTCAAAGCAGTGATTATAAATATGTTTAAAGAACTAAAAATGAAATACTCTTTAAAAAATTAAAGGAAAGTATAATGGCAATGACACATCAAATACAGAATATCAATAAAGAAATGGAAATTACTTTGAAACCAAATGAAAATTCTAGAGTTGAAATAAAAATTCATTAGAGGGTCTCAATAGCATCTTTGAGATGACAGAAGAAATAATCAGAAAACTTGAAAATAAGTCAGTAGAGATCATCTCACCTGAAGAACAGAAATAAAAAGAAGAGACAGAAAGAATGATTCTATAGTCTAGTGTGAGGCTCAAGAATCAACATTTCTAACAAACTCCCAGATGAGATTGATGCTACTGTCCAATAGACCACTTGTTGAATAATAAGGCTCTACATTCAATTTCCTTTTGTACTGTCTCTTAAAAAAACAATGATAAGCAAGATAATAATGCAAAAATGTGAAAAGGAAAATATCTAAATTCCTCAAGAGTTCAAACTATCTTCAAATATTTCAAGGGCATCCAGGTATATTCTAACAATAGTATCAACTCTAATTTTTTTAACACTTTCTTGTAACATATTTAGCAGATTCTGTCTTTGTTCAAAGGGACAAATAGATTCCATTCTCTCATAACAGTAAATTTCTCATTCAGAACACTTATAATTGACATCTTCACTAATTCAGCCTTGCTTTCCCATCTTAATCAGAACAGCTGTCTTATTGTGTTTCTAATTTGATTCATTTTATGTTCTTCCCCTTGTAAGGTAAATTAATGAACCTCATTGAGATAAAAGTGATCAAAATTCAATGACATCTGCAAATGAGCATGCAGTACCACCCAGAGGAGCTCATAAATATAATACATTATTCTCATAAACAAAAGCTCATTTAGTAACTTTGACCAATGCCATGTTCTTAGATTTATCTAACACAGAGAGGTCGAAAGTAAGCATGAAGGAAATCATCTGCAAAAATTACTGCCAGCATTTTACCTGCCAGGAAATAGTCTCTGAAAATTAACTAACTCCCTCTGTCTGAATTATTACCTATTCTTCTAGTAATGCACAATGCATTAGCCCCAAGAATCCAGGAACAATAGTTTGGTTGTATAGATTATAAAATATTTTGTGTGTCCTTTTCCTGGTTGACATTTTATTTTAGAATTGAATTAAAATGACCTCAATTTGGAAGAGATTTGTCCTTTGGATCAGAAACATTGGTCCAAAATTGTTGTACAGATGATTTGATTTATTAAATATCTCCTAGAATGGCTTGCTTTGGGAAGTAGGAGATTGTACATAATATATTAAAATGATTTTCTACCTACCTTGGAAGGCTTTGGTAATGAATCTATAGGTAGCCAAGAAGGGATTTGATCTCTTCTTTAGTAATTTATTTTGTTAAAATATTTCCAACCAAAAATATGTAGGATCAGAAGAAATAGACAACAACATGACGATAGAGGATGATTTCCATTCCTTGTCAGTAAATTTGGTTGAAAATTTGTGGAATGGGAATAATTGAAATTTCATGTTCATAACAGGGAAATGAGAAAGAAATTAGTATTATCTAATCCTCCAAGTAGGCATTTTAACATGATATTTCTTCTTTGCCATTAAGATAATGAACTACCCTGCCTATTTCAGAATGTCATGATGGTCAAATTTAGTGCTTTGTATATTCTAACTGGAAACATCAAGAATATGATAATTAGAGTGCAGTAGAATATAAACAGGAAAATCCAAAGAAAAAAATTAAATCATTCTTAAGAATTTGGGTTACTGTATGCAAACCAACCTTAAAGAGAAGAGAAAGCAGAAAATTTCTGCCCTCTGCTATTTTTCAATATTTAATTGATTAAATTAAATAACTGCATTTTATTGGATTTGAGGCATATTTCAAATATACACACAATACATCAGCCAAAGATAAAAATCAATTATATGTCAATGGAGTGAATTATATAAAGGTATTTAGAAAAAGGGTAGATAGGCATAGCTAAAGTGGACCAAAATTTAATTCTAAGAATTTCCACTAAATAACAAAAACAACAAAAAATTATGTGCAGTCATCACTATGATTCACAGAATCTATATAACAAAAATAAACTAGAAGCTCAAAAAAAATCTATTCCTGGAATTAAGATTAACAGCCATTTCTTACATGGGTCATTTAAGGAAGATATTATTGAACAATGTTTTCAACAATATCTTCACAGTAGAACCAACAAAAGGTTTTTCATAGGGCTATTTTTTATATTGCCCCTCAAATACCAAAACTCCGAATAATAGAAGCGTTTTTTTAAAGGAGAATTGATGGGTAAGAAATGAAGAGGAAGGGGAGATGTCTAAAATATTGTATCCATAAATGGATCTCTGTTATGAACAGACTTAATCCATGTATATATGTTAGAAGGTCTAAATCAATGATTCTTAATTGAGATGTATATCAGAACTGCCCTAACTCTGTAAGCCTAGTACCCAAACCAGAGGTCTGATTGAATAGGGCTGGGGTAGAGGTTTGACAAAGCTCACGATAGGATTCTGGTGCACAAACACAGATAAGGAACAGTGCTTAGGAGCAAATGTATGAACTGTCAACCCCTCAAGCAATCTCAAACAATGTTTAGATAAGTATTTATGGTAAAAAGTTCAAGATCACATAACAGTTATTGACATGAGGTCATCGATAGCTTCATTTTTATGTTCCTAGATAACTCTCCACCCTACTCCAGCCTATGATATGATGTGAGATGCTGACCCCTCTGCACTGTGCCAACTTGAGTTTACCATTGCATTTTCCAATGGGCAGCGTTGGAGGGTCCCAGGAGGAGGCAAGGGGAATGAAAACTAGTCATCTATTCACTTGGCTCTCTATCCAAGACTCACATGAGCTTGCTACAACTCTTGCCCACGAAGCTCATCCCTTGACCACATTTTTTCTCTCTCCAAATTTTATGACTACATGCAGTTTAGAGGTGTAGTGGCTTCCACATGGTACTTGCCCTGGGATGTGACAATATCTTTTGTGGATTTTCTACGTCTTGCTCATATCTTCATGAAAATAGTCTCTCTATTAAGCTTTCTCAAAATTACTCATTTTGAGACTTCTCTTTTTTCTTCTAGGACCTGATTAAAACTCCTAAAAAGTCCCCGATCCTAACCTTTGCCAGATTAATGATATTTGTAGAGTTTAGATATACAAGCCACAGAAGGGCAGGGTAAAAAAAAATTGGGATTTTTTTTGGACATGTATAGTCCAGAATATAAGGCATAACATGTAATAAAGTCTATATGATATTTAGAATATGTATATTTCTAAAATTATGTATATGTATATACATATGAATATGTATATATGTATATGTATATTTTTAAAATTTATTAAATATGTATATTTAAAGAATATATATATTTTTAAAATTTATTAAATATAAATAAATCATGTAAATTAATCAAAGAATATATTAAAGACCTATCTTCATTTTTACTGATTGATATTTCTAAAAATTGAAGTAGACACATTGCATAAATATTAAATATTTAACCATATAAAGAAATGAATATATAACTGGAAATCTTCAGTCAGAATATATGAATTTATAAAAAACATATTGTCCTAAATGTGACCAACAGATCACTCTGCAATTAAAAAACTGCTTGTTGATGTACAGCTAATGCAGCCGTTTGACCTGCAGATACCAGGGAAGTGTGTAAGTGATCACTTTCGAAAATTTCTCCAGTGACATCTGTTTGTTTTTGCTATAGCAGTGTTTTGTAAGACAAAATTTATGAAATGTTCACAGCATGAAATACTCTAAATCCCCCAGTTCATATCCTAATGATTAAGGGATTTTGACATCACAGACTAGGCTGTTGGATCGTACGCCATCTGTATAAATGGCTCTTATATTTAGATTCCCAGCTAAGTGATCTTCTGCTCTGTCCCTACAGCGTAGCTCTTTTTTGAGAGTTAAATTGACGTGTTTTAGGAGTCAATTGAGCAATATTTATATTTCAGCCATTTCTACTAAACATCCAACAATGACATTGGCCAGAACCAGAACCAGAACCAGTACTCATATGTTGCGTCAAATGTCGTCTATCCTATTGTGCAAGTATAACTAAGAAGACATTGATGAAGTTCACTAAGCTGAACCCAGCAAGGGCTGTACCCCAAACCCTCACCTTAGGAATCTGTGGGTCACATTTTCAATTCAGTTTAATGAGGCCTATTTAGAAGGTCCTAGTGTTGATCATTGGTCTCCTTTCTCTCCCATAATTTGGGTATTGCTTGTGGTATCCTGAAAAAGCAAAAATAGAAAATGAAAATGTTCATCCCAGTGCTATTTCATCCACATTGAATTAGTCGAACAACATTTTGTTTCCCATTATTTTTATCC